AATGTCAAAATGTTAAAATCTTTATGAAATCTTAGCATTAAATTTTATGGAGACGGGTATTTACTGGGATGCAATGCCAGGGGCTAAGACCAGAAGTAAGAGCTGAAGATGGGAAAAAATTTCTTCCAGGATGGAAAAGGGAACAACCACAAACTTAGGGTAATCAGACCTGTGGATTTTTTTTTTTATATATAATTTTTATTGCTTAATTGAGAACTCTTACTGGGTGGCCATACAATTTTTTTTTTTTTTTTCCTTAAATGTGTTAAATTTTTACTTAGAGAAACCTGGCAAGTCCTTCCATCAGTCAGAGGTCTGAAGAAAAGGACTAAGTGTTGCTAAGAGCAGCTTAGTTAATTGTTACTGAAACACAGGAAAAATTAAAATACATTTTTTTACTGTAAAGTAGAGAAAAGTAATAAAAAACAATGCCAGACGGTTAATGCCTCTCTTGTACCTTTCATTTGAAAGACCTCAGAAGAACATCAAGAAGAATAAAGGCAAAATCTATTCCCCACTGGCATCATTATAAATGTTGTATCCTCTAAAACTCTAAAGACATCCAGGAAGAGTAGGAGAATAAATGGCATTGAAATAAAGAAAGTCTCTCTGGAGCTTTGTTCAATCGGCTTTGTTAGAATTCACTCAAATAGGATGATTACAAGAAAAGATCTCATTTGTTTCAACATTAAAGGAGCAAATTAATATGTGGCAAGCTGCTAATAATTGCCTCATTATGTAGTGAATGGGCAATGCGTCCAATTTATAAAATTGCTATCATATTGTTAAAGTAACAATTGGGAAAGTTTAATCTGAATTTCCCGACTATCTGTATGATTCATTGTGGGATTCGCAGAATGAAGTGGGGTTGGTGCGTTGGAGTGAGCTCTGCAGCACAACATGGGCCTTCAGCTCTGAGAACTCTCAGGAGAAATTGAGCTTTTCATTAGCGTAAATTACATCTGCTTAGGTCCTGAGCTAGCCTTGGAAAACTGAATCTGGCAATCCTGGCTAGGAAGGCAGCTTGGAGTGGGAATGGCCCATCAAGATGTTGTGTTGTTGGGCTCCAGTGACATCGGGAAATCAGAAGGGTTGTGCTGAAGTTTTGCAAAGATATTAAGAAGTCCCAGCCTGCATCATGTTACCTTGGTCTTCTGCAGCCATTCTCTTGCTGGAGACTTATGAAATGATGGGGGGGAGCGTTTCAAATTGGAGAGCAACAAAATTTCCAAATATCGAAATCCTCTGTGGAAAAGCATCATGTTTTGTGACTTTCTTCTAGTTAGATTTGCTTGTGACCTTTTCTAATTCTGTCTGTTTTTGTTATTTAATGATTTGACCTTTGATTCTGTGAAGCTACTTCAGAGCTAAATGCAAAGATTTAATAACTAGAACTGTTTGATAAGTGACCTTTATTGCACAGCTATTTCTCTCTGCTAGAGAAGCAGCACTGTTTTGCAAGTCCTAACTCACAGTTTTAATTATCTTTTCTATTGTCTGTAAGCTTGCACAGGAAATGGAAAGGTCAGACATTTCATTTTCTTTACTGATTAAAATATAAGTGCTTCACAACAGTTACAATGTATCACTCAGGGAAAAGATGGAATAATTTGTCAGAATCGTGCCCAGATGCTCTGCTGAGGAGCTCTGTGTCCTCCTGGTCAGCAACAAAATGAATAATATTCGAGGAGCAAAAAGCAGTTCTTCAAAGATAATAGGTCAGATCCCATGGTGTCTGGAGGTGAAATATCTGTCTAAATGCGTAAAAAGAGAAGAAAAGTTTTCTGTTGTTTTTTTTCCCTTTGGCTGATATATCTGCAATACAAGTGGATGAAAATCTCATAAAAGGTAGAAGTAGACGTTTAATTTGTGATGGTCTGTCTAAAAAGCACAAATAGCAGCAGTACAGGTCTCCGTATTCCCTTGCTGATCTGCTGCTGACTGCTCTCTGTGGATGGCAGGGCTGCCTGCCCTCCGTGCAGCCTATTTTTGCCTCTCTTATATGGTTGCAGATGACTGAGCATTTAATTGCTATCCTGGAGTTTGTGATATGGATACCTATAAACAGTTACTGACAATTGCAGAATAGTCCACCAACAATGCATGTTTTCTCTAATTCTCTGGTTTTTCATCTCTCTGAACTCTGGTTTCTTTGTGTAAGAAATGACTCTCTGTGTCTGTTCATCCTTAATGCAAATAAATCATCAAGTTAAATAGAAAAGTGACAGTTGCTCATGCAGATTAGGGCTTTAATCAACAACTATCCCAACCAAAAATCTATGAAGGGTATAGGGATGTCAGTGTTTGGGGTGATGAGAGATAACAGAAGATTACTCCAGCTCTTCAGGGGTCGTCTCGGAGCCATTAAGATTGTCCCGGTTTGGTAAGAGAAATAGCAGCCACGGCTGCCTTGATAATTCCCTGGTCTGACCCCTCTGGCACCCAAATCCCTGTGCTTGAGTGGCTCCTGCAGGAGCCATCTGGCAGAGGAGTTACATTTGAGCATCTTCTGAGTCTGTAATGAGACCTCACCACCATAGCCATAGCTGAGGTGTGGTGTCATAGCAAACAGGACGCCGAACTAAGAGAGGAAAATAAGAAAGCTGTTGTGTATGGATTATAGAAACTGCCCCTCTTATCTTTAGCTGTTATAAACCAAGACCACAGGCAGCAAGGCTGTCTCTATATGGGGGCTCAGTAAATGAATACTGATACGTGGTTGTGCACATACTGCAGAAAATGTGGTGCAAAAAGATACTGAGTTCAGTGGATGGTGCTGGAATGAGTTGAATGTTTGTCATGGGTGTCAGTCAGTCTTTTAACTCTCCACAGGATCTCTGTTAGCAAATGTGCATAATTAGGGCATCTGAAATTTCTCTATGTTGTAAAAATATCTGTTCTGAGATAGGATTGGAAGGGGTTAAGCCTCCACCTCTACTGAAGTAGAGCAGATTATATGTTGACCTAGCGCAGGCATTCAATATTATGAAAGCACTTTACAAATTGGAACAAGATAAATGAATCACAACAAAAGAGCTCGAAAACTGGGGGACACAATTGCAGGAGTGAGTGTACTCAGTTTATTCGAGCAGAACAGTTTCACTCAGTGAATAGAAAATGCTCAATGCATTTCTAACTAAGGTCAGAAAATCAAACAATTCCAAATTTAAGAGAGCAGCTCCATTTCAATGGAGACAGAAGAATATTCTGAAAAAAACACCCATCAATGTTGAGACAAATTTAAATGGGACCAGATTCTTGACCAAATTGTTTTTTCCTGTCTGGCAGTTTCATATTCAGTATTTGTTAGCTTGAAAGTTCACCCTGAAAGCTATAAATTAATCTACTGGGACTTGAACAATTCACTTCATGTTAGGATGTGAGTTATGCTCATGGATTTGTTTAGGTCACACAGCCATGTCCTCATAATGTATCTTAGAGAGAATTTCTGTAACTAAGCAGTAAACAGAAAGACTGTTGTGTTCAGCTGTATCTCCTGGGATTTCATCCCTGCTGTTAAACAGCCAAGCAGGACAACTCTCTGAAACTACAACAGCTATAAAAAATACATGGTGTTCTGTAAAGGAAACGCCATCAGTGCTGTTGCATACAGTCATACATCTTTAACTCCTGAAGAAATGATGAAAGAATGTTTTCAGGTACCACTCACATAGAGAGATCAAATCAATCACAGCAGAGAAGTGAAAAGGCTGCAGTTGTGATACCTACTGCAGAAACTTGATATACAAATATAATAATTGTCCCCCAAACATTTGATATTTTTGCAATTATAATTTGGCTATTATAGTCTTGAGGTGTTTATCTCTTGTCCTTATACTGTGCACCATTATCAAAGAAATCTGATCTAAGAGACCAGGTCCATTGTGGTCAAATGTAGCCAGGATGTGATCCACATCAGGTAAATTAGGTGTGATTTTGAAGAGAAACAACCACAAGGCTACTCAAAAAAGCATCTAGCTAAAAATCATCAAAACATAAGAGAAATGAATACTAACAGACATGTAAATGATGTCAATCACTCCCAGTCAAAGCTGGGTTAGAAGATCAAGTCGGTGACCATACAAAAAATTACAAATGGTGTGTGGCCTGGACCCTATTCTCTAAGTTTTTCTGGATGGATCTAGTTTTCATTTGTTTTAAATTTCTAGTAAAACTTTAATAAAATGCATCTTAAATGTAACGCATCCCTCTGATGCAAAAGAACCAGACAATATATATACAGTTTATATTCAGACAAATGAAATATTGTCTGGGTCCCTATATTTCTTTAAGGAGATAACTATTCCTATTTTCAATACATAAGGGAGAAATAGTAACCCAGAACGCACTCAGGAAATACTGTCTTTGACTTCTCTTTGCCCAGGATTAAGCTCCTGAGTCACATGTCACCACTCCATCTGCCTCCCATTTTTCATGGTTGTAACAGTTCTCTGGAGAGAGCACCACATTCCTCTATCTACACCTCTTTCCAGCTGCAGGGTTTTAGTGCTATCAGGTTGGTTGTTAGAAGTACACTTCATGTTTGACTTGTGTCACGAATTTGGGAATTATTCCTTCAGACACATAACCAGAATCAGCGTATAGTTAAATTTTCAGCATTATTTTTTCTGTACGTTTTCCCTCTTGCAGACACCTTTTCAAAACAGGCCTTGATCTAAATTATTTTCTGTTGCTGCTTTCTTTTATCATTTTCTAGGGGAAAGAGTAACATCCAGAGAGAAAAAGAAATGAGTATTTTTCTAGTTGACTTCAGTAGGTGAACAAAGGAAAAGACTGCAGGCACTGAAAAGGGTTGCTTTTAGAAATGTGTAGCAGTATGTTTTTCCATCAGCTCTACCACAAGGGGATTGATTTTCTTGTTTTATAAAGAGAAGTATCGCTGTCAGTTTTTTGGATTGTCCTTGTCTTTCTGTTAACTGAATTCTCAGTCTGCTCTGTAGAGAAGAACCTGCCATGTATTTTTGTTTTCTCTCTTCCAGCCTCTACAACTGGACTGTGACCTCTGTGCCATCGTTTCCAATTCCGGACAGATGGTAGGCCAGAAGGTGGGAGCTGAGATAGACAAGTCCTCCTGCATATGGAGAATGAACAATGCACCCACAAAGGGCTATGAGGAGGATGTTGGGAAGAGGACGACCATCAGAGTGGTCTCTCACACAAGTGTGCCTCTCCTACTCAAGAATCCTGAGTACTTTTTCAAGGAAACCAACAGCACTCTTTATGTGATCTGGGGACCTTTTCGAAACATGAGGAAGGATGGAAATGGCATTGTATACAACATGCTGAAGAAAGCTGTTGACAGCTACCCAACTGCCAAAATCTATGTGACAACGGAAAAGCGCATGAGCTACTGTGATGCAGTGTTTAAGAAGGAGACAGGAAAAGACCGGTAAGTTATACTTGTGAAGAGCAATTATAATGTTTGATAAAAGACGTGAGAGAAGACCATGCTGGATGCCAGCTACTAAATGAATCCCTAGATATGTTTTTAATGGATTGTTTTGTGGTTTTGACTGTTATAAGCACTTGATGAGGCAGCAGCTAGGCCCCATTTACCCCACCTACGCTACCTTCTGTTCTTTCAATTTCTGTTGGCTTGAGTCCCAAAAAATATTGGATGTCTTTCTGAAATGTTTTGAAAGCTGTGTGTTGTTTTCAGCTCAATTTACTATTGATTAAATTGATATTTTATTTGAAGGGGATAATCCTACTCAAACAACATTTCCAAGTGCACAACCTCAGGATAACTCTGGATATTGTATTTTTGTCTCTATTGATATTCTCTTTAGTTTTACTTCAAGCACAAACCACAGGGTTGTGTGCTATTTGTGTTTCTTGGTGAAAATGGATTTGTTTTGGCATTGAAGGGGACCTCTGTGTTTTGGCATTGAGGCAGCCTCTGCTACACACTTAGTAGGAAGGAGTTTCCAGACCACTGTTCTGTCTCAGTATTTATTTTTCAGTTTGCACATCATGATTTTGCAGTTGTGAAGGAAAGTAGCTATTCTGACCACATTATAAAAATACAGATGCTAACTAATAGTTTAACCTTATCCAAACTTTTGACTTGGCTGTTGCTGTAGAAGTGCTTGTTCTCTCAGTCTCCCTTGATTCCCTTTGTTACTGAAGTGCCAAATCTTGGTTAGAGTCAATTTTGCCTTTTTGAAAATGAATTGAAATATGGGGCTTGTTCAGCATGTGCATATATGGCTGCTGCAATTCTGGAGTTGGAAGGGGCTTCCATTCTCCATAAATGTCTCAAGGTTGTCATTGCTTTTTTGGTTTAAACTGAAGCTGATGAATTGAAGCTAACAGAAAATGCACGAGATGCATTTCTCAAAAATGTCCTTTAATAATCAAAGGCATCCAGTTTACCTATTCATCAAGCTAAATATGATCGAGAGAATATCATTGCATTTGTAAACTTCAATTTGTTTATATTTAAATTTGTATATATTCCATGATAATGGTTGTCAGGTCACAGACTTAACAATGTTGCATTAAAATCCTTACTGTGAGAGCAGCTCAGTGCAAATAGATACCTTAGCATAGCCTATCAAAAAACATCATCATTCAAGTGTCTTAATCTCCAGCCTAATGTGTTCCTAATTCAACAAATTAATACATCACAAAGTTTTATTAGTTCCTTATTAACACAATACAAATTATCCTTTCCATGTCAAAGACAGATTGAACTTCTGTTCTCTCAGAGCTTATAAACAAAGTTCTTAGGAATCCTGGCATCAGTAGCCCAATGTCTTTCTCCTTTATCTGCCACTACAACTAAAATTTTCACACTGTGAGCAGAGGCAAATTGTAGAGGGACTTCATGATCCACGTGACGTGGTGTACATAACTTTAACACTACGAAGTCAGCCAATGCTTCTCACAGTGGCAATCAGATCACATCCTTGCATCTACTGTAACTTTCTTTTTCAGTTCTGCTTATCCACATCAAATGCAAGTGGTATCATTTTGTGCACTTGTCAGCTAGAAATGAGGGAAATAGTCAACATGTCACCAGCTCTCTACTAGTCAGGGGGCCTCCATTTGGAAATCATTTTCAATTCACAGAATCTTTATGCTTTCTCTAGGGAGGGTGATGAGTCTCTTAGAGGTATATGCCAGTTGTGGAAGCACTAAAGGCAGAGCGCAAGAAATTTGGGAGTGATGAAAATAGTTTCGCACATTATGCCAGACTGTTACAATGCTGAGACAGAATCAGGTTCCTCAGCCAAATATTCCTTCCATTCCTCAGAGAAACATCAACTCCTGCTTGCAGTATTAGTTAGAACAGAGGTCTGCTTCAGCATGTTCCCAGAAAAAAATCTGGAAGGATACCAAGTTCAACTCATATTTTAAAATGTACCAAGTGGATTGTAATCACGTCTATTTTAGCTTAATCCTAAAATACTGTCCTTATGTACAGTGTATTCTACTAAGGCATAGTAAAATTACAACAGATTGCTAGTCTGTCAAGCCTTCAATAGCTTTCTAGTTCTACTTTTTGGTGTATTATCTTTTCAGGTAATCAGTGAGACTTTAAAGTAATTTCATCCTACTGATGCTTAAGTTTCAAAGGGTGTTTTGAGAAGTGGCAAACAGATGTGTTCTGCAGTTGTTTCACTACTGCAAAAAAGCTCTGGTCCTACACTCTCGCTGGAGCTTCATCACTGAATTCAGTGGGCACAGGTTCAAGCCCCACAGCTTTGCTATTGATCCGTAGTTTATTATCAGTTGTATGGGGACTGCTGAATCACAGCCTGAACCTCTGATTGATCCCCTGAGGCGAGCCATGAGTCAGCCACAGGAGCACAGGTGAAGGCAATTCAGCTGTGCTGCTGGAAGGGGGGGAGCCTGGCTGCACCTCTCCTAGATCCATTTAAGAGCTGACCACCAGTGGGGAAGGATCTCTTCTGGAGATCCACTCTATTGGAGTTTCCCAGGCAAGCCCAGGATATGGGTGAGTGTACCTGTCATTTCTGGTTCCTGCTTTGGTGTAGCAACATCATAGCCAAGCTCTCTGTTGTACCATAACATCTGTATATTCGTTAATTGTGCACTGCTATACCATAACATCTGTATATTCATTAATTGTGCACTCCTATACCATAATATCTGTATATTCATTAATTGTGCACTGCTGCACCATAACATCAGTATATTCATTAATTGTATATCAGTTCATGTAAGAAATAAGGATTGTTCCTGAAGAACTTCTAGCAGATAGGTTGGAAGCAAACTTTTTAATTCTTTCTGTAGCAGTATCCTGAAATATGAGTTATCAGTGCTGGAGAATTAACCTTGTATGCAGTGTTATGAATCTGGAGGACATACGTTTCTTCTGAGAGTCTTCATTAGTGAAGCATTTGAGTTCAATGCAGTGAATACTCATCCATTTTGAATAATTGTTGTACATAAATAATATTCATTACCAGACGCTCATGGTTTTTCATTAAAGCTTTTTACTTGGTGCTTCCCTAGAGGGAACATAAACCTGGCAGCTTCTTCTTATACTTCACTAATGTTTGGTTATATTGCATGTATTGAGTCAAGTGAAACATTTAAAAAAACATTGGATAATCACTAACTGTGGCATGTTTGTATCTGCTTCAATCCAGGTAAGTGGTTCTAAAGACATCTATAACTTTGCTATGTGGTAAGGCAATATGATATAACAACATTTAATTGGTAATAACAGAGAAAACTGTAGTCTTCATTAAAGCAGCAGAGCTAATTCTGGTCTGATAAAGTGCACTGAACAGCCCTAAATAGGTTTTAATTAGCTGGCACCAAAGCTGCACCACCCTTAGGGAGGGTAAAATTAATGAAAAATAGCAGCACATAGATCAGCGCTACTGGATGTCATTGCCTTAGGTGAAGGTGACGAGGAAGAAGGGAGTGCCTGTTAAGGATCATTTAGAAAACAGACTGCGTTAAATGTGACTTTTCAATGCAATGATAAAATAAATCTTTGCTAATATTGCTGAGACACTCAAATATCATCCTGTTTTCAGCCTACATTTGTATTTATTGTACAAACATTTCAGGCTGACCACTCAGCAGGTGCAGCTCCAGTCCCCCCTTGAGGCTGGCAGTGTGATCAGACACTGCCTGCGGGGGACACTGAGCCCCAGCAGACAGCCACTAATGCATGTGCTGATATCACCTGATTCATGGCTTCACTTAACGTCTGAGGTCGTCTCATACATAACTGCCTGAAAAGAGCCTGATAGACTTTCCTGTGGAGATATGTTCTGATCCCCTGAAATTCCTGTAAAGAGACCTTCAGACGATGTTCTGAAAGCCAGCCCTTTGGGTGTAGGTTTGACTACACGCTATCTTAACTCTAACAATACCCACTCCATATTGAAACAATCCAGTTTGACTTGTTCCTTCCAACTCAAAGGATTCCATGAATTCAACGTTTTATGGAGATTATTAGCTATACAAGCATGCTCACTGGAAGTAGCTGTGTTTCAATCAGATTGGTGTTTCTGAAGGATTTCTGCTAATGTCTTGGACAATTCTGAAGAAGTTAAATTAGTTTAGTGCTTCTCCAGTTTTCAGTTTCCTCTGTGCCAGATGGTGTGATGTGTTGGGTTGTGACAAAGCTGGTTTATCATCTGAGGCAGAAAGATGGATCATTCTGATCGCTGACTTCTACATAAAGATTCAAAACTTGGAGGTGCGCTCAACCTGCTATTTTACTCAGTTCTGCACGCTATTTTTTTCTAAACTTGGCAATATGTGAGATCTATATTAAATCTCTGTCATTTAGAGGTACAAATTATATTCATCTGAATTTCAGATTGACACTGTTAGGCAACTGAAGTCATCTCAGCTTCACCTCAGCTAATACGTAGCTTTTGATGTGTCTGACTGATCCACGCAAAACTGTAGTCTAGTAAAAATGTCTTGAATAAATGAAATTACCTTCTCTGAGATACAGGTGGGTGCAAGTTCTGTTGTTTGGGGAAGTTCTCTCAGAACAGAAATGGTAAACCTGTCAGTGGCTGGATCACACAAGTTTTGTGCTGTATTTCTTGGCTTGAATAGAGTATTGCAGTAATGCAGTAACTCTTTTGCGCTTACTTTCATAGTCATACTAGTTTCCTTATCGGAGAAAATATAAAATCTTACCCAGTGTTAGATAATAATTGCAGAATGAAGCTTTTCATTGGGAAGTTGTGAACATTGACAATGAATTTGGCTCAGAGTTAGTTTTTGGGAGTTGGGCATACTCTCATCTGCACTTGGTATTAACATGAGTTTTCTAAAAACTGGGAGGTGAGTAACCGTTCATTTTGCTTGGAAAGGAAAACAAGCAGAGTTAAGGAACATTTACATGCTTAAATTATAGAACTCTTGGAAGAAAATGATGGAAAA